TCTTTGCCACCAGCCAGCCCAGATACTCATCATAATCTATCCTAAATGCTTTTTCCCTAAATTTAATTTGTCAGTCATCCTATCTTTTGATTAATCTTTACTAAATACCAATTTTGTCGTATTAATTTCTACTTATAAATAATAAACAGACAACCATTTAAGTCTAGAAATTTTACCATGGCTTTTGAGTTTCTCCAGTGTGTTTTCAAAACCACTTCTCCAGTGATAATATATTACCAATGTTCTTCTACATGAGATCAACCTCATCTATATTGATCTATTAATTATTCCCTGAATCTTCCTTGAACAAAAAATTTTGTCTTAACTGGAATGCCCACCAACATACATGCCTTACCTGGAGTCTGCTCTCTTTCTGTCTTTTTATTGTAATATCTGTCTCAACTTTTTTTCTTTCAAGTTTTATTGCCCTCTGTGCAGCCTTCTTGATTATAAATGTCTTAATGGCCATAATTGATAAACATCGTTTTGCTTTATTATTCATCTTTTTATGCAGTGTTGTTGTCATACCAAATAAATTAGAAATACTTTGACATTAGGAACTATGCCAATATTTTTGCATACCATAGCAATTTGCAGAATTCATATATTCAATAAATAATTACTGATCTTGATAAACAAATTTTTAATTTACCCAACTCTACATTTCAGATTGTTATTGCATGTATTTCTTTGAGAATAGTTCAAAAAGGACATAGATTTATCATGGCGCCACTTTTCAGTCTGTGGGTTTAAAATGTTTTCTGACTTTAAATGAGAATCCCTTGTGAAGATACTGGCATTTTGGCTATCCAACCCCAATTCTAATACAAAAGTATGATTTATTGGTTGGTTTGAAGTAATGCCATCATTTACTCAAATTGCTGCTCAAATCAAGTGAGTCAGTCTATGTAATGTTATACACTTCTCCATTTTCTTCAAAGTTATCATGTCTTTTCCAAATACTTAAGAAGACTAAAACATAAAAATTAGATTTTTCAGCATCAGTGAATGCCATTTCATTTTTAAAATCCCATCCAATTCTAAATAGAAATTTTAATTAGAAATGTTTACTACGTTTCTGTCCTAAATGACATAAAGGCCTCGTATCAGTATCCACTTTCATGTTTTGTCTCTAAATTGAAATGTCAGAAATGAAGGCAAGATTAACTGGATAGATAGAAAATACCAGTTTTGTCCAGTTTTCTCTGAACACAAATTTCTATTTGGCATTAGAAAACTGTTTCATTTTCTTCTGACATTTGAGTCCAAAATGAGTCTATTAGAGGTGGCCACAGGTCAAGAATGATCACAAGAAACTCTGGATGTTAAATCACTAGAGTAATGATTAAAGCATGACCTTAAATTTTAGTTCTTCACGTTTTTCCTAATATGCGTATGTTTTAATGTATCTGTAGAGGTCAATTAGAGCAAATCTAGCCTTCAGGAAATGTATTTAACTAGAGAATTATGTGTTTTCTTTTTATTATATACTTTTAATCCCTGATTTATAGCCATGTGCCCAGTCACCAAAATGTCCATAAAAATATGATCTTGATTAATGAGTGAATTACTAGTTTGTACTGAATAAAAAATTAACCAAATATTTTAATATAAATTAGCTAATTAATTTCAAGCTTAATTTCACTTGATTGCAATGAATGTTTCTTACACCCAACAGCAAATCAGTGCAAAATTGTTCAGAACTTTATTTGACTTCGAAAGTGCCTTTATCTTTCAAGTTTTGTCTTTTCTATAAACTCCAAAGGTCAAAGTAATAATTGGCAGACATTTCTCAAAATCTCTGATATCCTTAAATTCAGCTGAAGTCAATGAAACAATTACAAAACTATATGTTCTCAATACCATCAATAGTCTGTACCTAGTGTACAGTAAGCTCTTGGTAAATGTTCATTATTCTGCTATGCACTTGTATGTTATCAGTTTAGGAGAAATAGAAATGAAGGTGATGAGCTTTCACTTCTAGAAATTTACATTTATATATGGTAGAGAAGTGAATATCATCCACAATGGTGAGTTTCACTTGTTTAGTGAACATGTCTCTGGATCAAGATTTCTACTTGTTGATATTATAGATGGGGCTATCAAAGAATGTTTTGTAAAGCTATTGATATTTTAGTTTCATTTTGAAGATAGAATATAGCCAGCCATGCAGAGATGTGAGTAAGGGAGATGAAGGCAAAGGAAACAGTTTGAGCAAATGCACATTGATGAGGAAGTGTGAGTCAGTGCGGAAGAGGGGACAATTAATTGTGGTTGTCTACAGCTATAAAAGCATTAGGAGTACTTGGAAATAAACCTAGAAGACCTAATTTTCTTTCAATTAAAATGTATATAATAGTTAATTGGACAAAACAAATGCACTTAGAAGATTTTTGAGTCGGCAGGTGAAACTAAACTGTTTTAGAAACGTATGCTTGCAGCAGCCTGAGAAATACTCTCATGGGAAGGAACACTGAAGAGATAAAAGTCAGAAAAAGAAATGTAGAACTTGATACATCATTATCTCAGATTAAAATAAATATCTCAGATTAAAATTAATGAGTGCATGTATCAGGGAAACATTGTTGGAAATACATGAGAATGTGTACAAATTACGTTTCAGAGGTTATATGTCCAAGACTTTTCGATTGATTGGTGGTGGCCAAAAATGGTGAACAATGAGCAATTTTTGGTAGAAGGGGAAGGGTTCAGTTTGCACTTGGAGAGTTTGAAATTAAAATATGCTATTCAACTGAATCCTATCTAAGGATTGGAGATTGCAGGATTAAATTTTGGGAAAGCACAGGCTGAAGAGCCAAAGAGAAAAGGAAATTGAGGGCATGAAATAAGATGAGGTTTTAAAGGAGAAATAAAAGGAGCAGAACCCCAATTCTCTTTTTTCTTTCAAACATACAACCTCTTTTCTGCCTCTTTCTCTTCTTTCCATAAGTATGAGTAAACCTTCAATTTATAAAATTCCTGACTACGTACCTGGAATTGTGAATCCCCAAAACTCTAAACATCTCTTCAGATTCAAGTTTCTTCCGAGAGCAATCTCAACTTCCTTGACTTTTTCTGCAGCTTTCATCTATTGTCCCCATTACATTAAACTAAGTTTATCAAGGGGATTAGTTGCTTCTCAAAAGAAAAAGTTATTTTCTGTGAATTCTCACTAATATTGACATTGTTTACAGTAGATAGTCACTTGTTCCTTGGTTCTGCTAAGTTTTCTCCCTATTCTTTCTAAATTCATTGTTCTTTTTAACTGGTTTCTCTCTGAAATAATAGGCTTACTAGAACACTTTTTGAGCCCCTATAATGTGCCAAGTATTCTCTGAGCATTGATGAAATTATGAATAAAGACAGGGCCCAAGACTGACAGGAAAAAAAGATAGCCATGTAGCTCAGCCTGAGTTTCTCATGGAGGTTTCCAGAAAAAGAAGGAATTCATCAATCAAGTATAGGAAGTACAAGGAAATATTTTAAAGAGCTTAAATACATGTTTGACAAGACTTCCTTGATAAATATTTTCTTCCTTTCTCATATTTATTTCTTTAAACATTGTCAGCATAGCTATGTTAAAGTCTTGGTCTAATTCCATTTTTTTTCCTTTTCCTTTTCTTTCTTTTTTTTTTTTTGGTCATTTCATGGGTCTCTTTTTCCTCTAGGTTATTTCAGCTGATTCTTGCTCACAGTGCCTTATTTCACCATGTATTTTATAATGTCAGAATGTGAGTTTAGCTTAAAGAGAACTTCATTTATGAAAATCGTGGGGAGTCTGGGCTGATTATATAGCTCTTCTGAAGGGAATTTATGTTTGCTACTGCCACGTAGCTGTGAACCCTACATGTGAGATGGCTTTTTCATTTAATTTGCATCTTGGGGTTTCCCAAAGAACATATATTTACAATTAAAATCTCAAACCCGGAATATGGCAGAACAGTGGTTAATCTGTTTAAGGAGAAACATTTTTCGCCTATACAGGCCAGGAGGGACAACTCTCCTTGACATCACCCTTTTGCCAGTGGGCTGATTTGTTCTTATGCTAAGGGTGAGTCTAATTCTGGTCCAGTGGTATGTGGTTTTCTATAACATCCCCTCTTCATGCCAATCTTGATCCATTCTCTGCAATCTGGGAGCCTCTCAGTTACCATCATCCACAAATTCCCAGTGTAGGCCTGCACTCTAGTTTTTAAGTTTGTCTCCACTATTTTCCCTCAAGGCACTATTACTTTCCTGAAAGGTTACCTCTGCGTTTCTGGGAGCAAAGGGTGGTGGGACAAGGTTTTGGGGAGTGGCCTCACACCACAATGTCCACCATACTATTAGAAGTATAAATCTTTCAATTAATGTTAAAACATAATTTTAATTATTTTCTGAAGTTTTAGAATATTCAGATGTTTTATTTCAAATTTGACAACAGACTTTTTGACCATCTTGCCTATTTTACCGCCATTGCCCTGGTTCCTTTACTTACTAATCTTGAGAAAATGGATGTTTAATCATTGTTCCTTATGTAGTTCTCTCTCTCTTCCCTCTGTGTATGCTTCCTTCCATGGAAATATTTTAGTAGGTAGTCAGAATGTTTAATTCATATTTTAATTATTGTACTAATAATGTAAGATATACTCTTTTTAAGCAAGTTTCCAAATTTTGAGCAAGAATTTCCTTTAGCTATTACCCACTCTGGTAGCACACATAAGGCCTAGCCTGGGAATATGGAACAGCTGTCTGAGTATGAATTTCCTCATTTTCTTAACTAAAAATTTCAGCATAGCTTAAATAAGTTCTGTAATTGGTCTGGTTGTAAGCTGCATAAGAATATAACAGATATAATGTTGTTATGTTGTGTTTTACAAAACTGTAATTTCTCTTTACAGGTAATAAAAGCACTGGGGGTAAATAATTGCTATTTAGATCATGTGGTATAGATATCATGTATTAAAATCTTAGCATTCATTTTAAAACCATAATTAATTTTACTCCAATCTTTTTTTCAGCTCTTCTTCAAGTGACAATTTCACTTAGCAAAGTAGAGCTTAGTGTGGGCGAATCTAAATTCTTCACATGTACAGGTATGTGTTTCTACAAATATTTTCAGGTAACTTGTTTCATGCTTTAAATATTCATATAATATACTGGCTAAATTTAAGTAGTTAAAAAAATCAACTCTTTAGAAATAAAATTGTATGTTATCATTGGGCTTATAATGATTGGAAAAGTGTTAATAAGCATATTTTACATATTAAACACTATGAACTTTATTTCTGTTACTTTCAAGTTACTAACTTTGTCTGCCAAACTAGGTCATTTATTTTGAAAATAATTTATCAGGTATAATGTATACACAATAACTTTTAATCAATTAAATATTTATCTAAATAGTAATATTAGGATGAATATAAATGTTGTAACTGAACCATTTTTGTTAATAGGAAATGAATTAATTAGATGTAGCACACTGCATTATAGTTACATTTGAATGAAAATTTTAGGACAAAGCAAATCAAATCCATCCTTATGAAAAGTGATTATTTTTAAAGTAAATTATTATTAACCAGCTCAATTGTATCGCATAATCACGGAATAATGAAATAGTTTTAAATGAATTAAAAATTAAATTGTATTATTTTCTTGGCTTTGCATATTTTAATGATATAAATTATATGATGTTAATTGCCTCTGTATATAATTCATAAGATCAAACTGACATAATTTAAAAGTATGAATTAACATCACTCAGTGGTACTGAGTTTTGTTCTCAATAATAGGGCAAAAATAATTAAACATTGTTTTCCTTTTATTTAAAGACATATAACTAAGAGCTATACAGTTGTTGGGGAAGTGGCCTTACCTATGTTAAATAGAGTAGTAAAACAAGAATCTGAAAATAAAAATGTGGAAAACCTATGCAAATCAGAACGCTTGCTTGTATTTTTCTGTTACAGTGGTAACTGTTGATTCTAAAGTTTCCTGAACATAGATATCTGAAACTCAATCAAATAAGTATGTCTTAAAATTAAACTAGAGGGTAGCCATGTTACCGACCTGGGTTCTTGGACTCTGTAATTGATAGAAATTGACAAGAGACCAGGTAAGGAATTCAGGCAAGGCTTTACTGGGACTCATGCTGCAGCAGGAGGGAGTGAGAACAAGAAACTGTTTCCATTGCTTGCTCCCTGGGTTGGGGGGCGGGGCGAGCTGATCCCTTACATGGGGTGAGGGTAGCATAGGTTGTCTGCCACCCCCTTGGTGGTGCTGGGTTCAGGGATCATGCGTAGTACCCTGCTTTTGCTGAGACGTGGCAGTTGGGTTTTGGCCTTTTTGTGTCTTTGTTCATAATTTGCCCCAACTGCATATGCATGCAGTTGTTTTAGAGTTTGTTCAGATGCAAGCACTGCAGTAAACGGTCCCAGGTCCCAGGTCCCAGGTCCCGGCCTATTTCAGTCATACCCTCACAGAACTAAATACGAATGTGTCATGTATAGCAGATGAATTTTTATACTACATTTAACATGTATGTTTTCAAGAAAAGAAGTTTAATGCTATTTATTAATTTATCCAATATTTCAGTCCTATCAGTAAAATAACATGGAAAGCTTTATGGGGAATTATTAAGTATTAGAATTGTCAGAAAAAAGAGAATTATGACTGCTTTATGAAAATCCAGAATAAACTGTCCATGATAGTGAAATTTTATTCCATAGCCTTAAGAATGAAAGTATCCAAAATACTTCACAGAATATCCTTTATAATTTACTGTGTAAAGTGGAGTTTTCTATTGCTCAAATTTAAAGTGATGCATATTTAAATTATTCTTTTGTAAATTCTCAACGGAGGAGGGAATTAAAGCTAATACCTCCCCCGAATGAGTCACCCTGTAACGACTATAGTTTTATGTTCAGAAAAACCTGAAGATAATATAACTAAGATCTATTTAATATTTAACTAAACTTACATACTTTATTCTCGAGCATGTCTAATTTTATATAGGAAGGAAGGCAATTTGTTTCCAGAGCCATTTCTTGGGGAAAAAAATAAGATGGAACAATTTTCTTCAAAAAGGTCCTACAGATGTTAGTTAACTGTATGCATTTTCCCCCGATACTTTTGAGTTAATAGTGTATACTGCTTCCACAAATTATCGCTCAAGTAATTAGGTGAAATGCATCCTTTTGGTGACTAAAAGTAAACACAGGAAGCTTCAGCTTTCACGAAGAGGATAATAACCTAGATTCAGAATTGGAATACGTAAATAAATGTTTACCCTGTAATGATTTGGTTGTGATTGCCTAGCACTATAAGTATCATTTCAATGCATTCTAATTATCATATGATTAAATAGTTAACAGTTTTAGATTGAAATGATGAAACTACTGATTTCAGTTGGGAAAAGAGAAGATTAGGGCTCTAGTTTAAAAATAGTTATTGGTCTTATCTATACAAGTTTAACAACGTGGGAAATTCATTCAAATTTCTGTATTAACAAAAGCCAAAGTTTACTTCGTAAAAGATTTACATTTTTATGAGCTCTACTGTATGACAGGAAAAAGTGCTATCTCCTGACCCTAGCAAAGAGACTTGCGCAAGTGAAATCGTGTTAGCAATTGTGTTAGCATGTTTCTGTTTAAGTATGTCTATCAAGGGCATTTATGTTGGACTTGGTAGCCAAGGTGCTTTCAGTACTTAAGTGTAGTCATAATCCGTAGATTAACATGGTAAAGTTCAAGCTATCATAGCTTAAATACCTTATTTCAAGTTCCCTAAGGAACTTTTGGATTTTGCTTACTCAAATGAGATTGCATGCTCAATGTTGGATAAATAAGGATGAACATGTGTGCTAGCATTTGTGTTTACTTTCAATTTTGTAAGATTTTCAGATTTCCAGTCTTCTGTTTACATTTTTTTCCTAAATTGTCAAATTTGTTACACAATAGTAAATGCCAGCGTCAAAACAAACATTTGAAACATATTTTCAAACATTTCTTTTCCGTGGCTCTTTGCAGCAATTGGTGAACCTGAGAGTATAGATTGGTATAATCCTCAAGGAGAGAAGATAATTTCAACACAGAGAGTATCGGTGCAAAAGGAAGGTATTAGGTCACGATTAACCATCTACAACGCAAATATAGAAGATGCAGGGATATATCGTTGTCAAGCAACAGATGCCAAAGGACAGACACAAGAAGCTACAGTTGTTTTGGAAATTTACCGTAAGTCACGGATTTATAAATTTTACTTGGTTGAAATTGTACTTTCTTATAAAAAAATTTTAACATGTTAAAATGTATTGAACAATAAAAACTAATACTCAGTAAGAACTAACTATGTGTTAGGCAATGTGCTGAGACCTTTACAGATATCAGCTTATTTATATTTTACTGTAGTGCACCTCTAAAATAAAATAGATAATAGATCATAGTGGATTATAAATATATAGATGGCTCCAGTTCTGTTGGTCAAATAATATAGATGAAAATGTTTTAATTTTCTGAGGTCATTAAGAATTTTTGAATAAATAGAAAACAGTAGTTTAAGTAGTGATATAAAATTTATTGGGAGTACTTTTTTCGCTCTGAAAGAAAAGGTTAGAAAAGGTTATTTGTTATTTGTTGTAACTAAAATTACATATGTGATAGCAGTGACCAGTCTAGCATGAGAACTGGGGAAGGGTCAGTGAACAGGATTTAGACAGAGAACAATCTGAAAACATCGAACCAGAAGAATAACATCTAACCAGATTCTTTACCACTAGGCATTTTCAGTAACAAGGTTTTCTACATTTACACTTTATTTTATGATTTGAGATTGATTGCTTCCTACATTCCTTTTCCCTTCTCTCTAGGAATTGTTAACCCGTTTAGGAAACTCATTGACTCCCTGGGTTTGAAACCAGGCTCTATCACTTACCCCTGTGGCCTTGAGCAATCTCATAATCTGTCTTGTCGCTTTCATCAATAAAATGGGTATAATAGTAATACCTACATTATACATAGAGTTACTTTGAGAACTACATTAATTCATGCATAAAGTGCTTAGAACAGTGCCTAACAATTAATTTGTGGTAGTCAGTAATTCTACCAGTGAAAAATTATAAACAGTTTTAAAACACCAGCTCATAAGGCATCTCTTCCTTACAGCTTTGTTTTTGTTATTCTAGAAACAGGAGATGGAAAAAAAAAAAAAAAGGCTAAATCAGTCCCACAGCATGACTTCCTCTTGGATGACCAGAGCAATTTGTTAGTGCATTGTTACCCTCATTTTTCCTGATTTGACCTTTTTTCTCCCTGTTAGTTTCCAAGTTCCTCGAGGAAAGATATTTGACCATCTACTGTACCAATTTCATAAATAGCAAAATATTAAATTGAAATGGTCATTTCATAGACATAGTATCTGGAAAGATGTTTCATTTGAAATGATACCAAGGAAGAGTCCTGGTGTTTTGTGAAGCAAAAGAATTTTGTATTTTCTTAGCAGGGACAATGAGTAAAAATTTCTCATCACACATAAATATCCACATTCATGCATTCTTTCAATACACTTACTGCATTTCTACTACCTAGCAGACAATGTTCTAATTTCCAGAGACTCAGTAGTGACTAAAACAGAAATCACTGGCCACTTGATGCTAATAATTTTAATGGGTAGAGACAGGCAAACAAAAGGTAAGCTGTAACGAATGCATAAGTACTAGAGATATATTATATAGAATTCAACAGAAAAGAAATTAAGTGGTTTAGAGATATGGGGAGATGGCTATTTTGCATGTGGACGTTGGGCAGAAATTTGAGGGGATTTAAGAAAGTGCAAATGCCCTAGAATGACAGCAAATCTGGAGTGCTCAAGGAACTGCCCAGAATAGAAACTAGGAGGAGAGAGGAAAAATTGGGATCAGAGTTGTGGGGCAGACGCCAGTTCCTACAGAACCTAGTGTGGCATTGTAAGAGTTTTGAATTTTATTCTCAGTGAGATAGGAATTTATCAGGTAGGAGAATTAGATGAGCTGGTTTAAGGTTTTAAAGGATCTAAATTTACCTCATTTTATTACAGCATCAATAAACACAGATTCTGAAATATGTTATTGGGAAAATAAGCAATAACACTTTTATGGTTTGTTTTACTTTCTTGATGCAGAAAAACTCACTTTCAGAGAAGTGGTATCTCCTCAAGAGTTCAAACAAGGAGAGAATGCAGAAGTGGTTTGCCGAGTTAGCAGTTCACCGGCACCTGTTGTCAGCTGGTTATATCATAATGAGGAAGTCACCGCTATTTCCGACAGTTAGTATTTTGGTAACTCCCTACGTTATATGTTCTAACAATATTGCACTTTTTAAAAAAGACTGAATCTACCTGAGCAGATATAGCAATTGGATTTTTTGACCCTAAGCGTCAACTGTTTTGAGAACCTCAAAGCTCTGAACTGGGCGTTGACACACTATGGACTTCAGGCTAAATCCAGCCCTTCTGCTGTTTGTGTAAGGTGCTCTGAGAATACAGCCAAACACAATAGTTGCATATTGTCTGCAGCTGCTTTGGGATCAAAATTGAGCAGCTGTGACACAGATGGTTTGGCCTGTGAAGCCTACACAGTTATTGTCTGAAGATTTACACAAAGTTTGCTGACCCATCCTCTAGTCGAGAAAAAATTATATACAAACAATACAAGGATGCTAAATAAATAAGAAATGAATCCTGATACATTGAACTTCTGCATATTATAATTAAAACATGATCCCACAGGCTGACTAGATGTAAACTTAAAATAATATCTATGCAAATCCTGCGTATTACTCTGGCACTGCTATTTCAGAGACAACTGCATGTTCTAAATATTATGGTGAGATGCATGTGGATAATAGACAAAAAAGTACATTCATTCCAGTTGTCTTTATGATTTTGATTTAGACTGAGCTGAAATTCCAGAATAGTATCACATCTGAAATGGAATGCATAATTTGCTTACATTATGCTCCTTTAGCATTGTGAATTGGGAGCATTTTCAGTTTAGAATATTTTTCATTGCACCTGCATTGCAGAGAGGTACAAAATAATTGAATCTTTTAAACTACTTTCCGTCTTGGATGATTTTGTTTTGTGCTTCTCAGTGATGAAACTTCTACAACATAAAGGAGAAAAAGCAGATAATTTCTATTTTTGAATATATGCAGAAAATGTATCATGATTATGTTTAATAGTTTTTTTTTAAATTTTGAGAGAATTTTCCTGAACTTGACATTTTTCACTGCTTATCAGTTACTGACTAAAACTTTTTCTATCATAATAAGTTAATGAGACATAATGCTTTATTTCCTCTTACTTTATTTTCAGATAACTGCTTTAGATTTTACAAATAAATTGCATGGGTAAATTGTACAGTGTATTTTCAACTTTATTTCTCTCAATAACAAACAAGAGGCAACTCTTATAGCAGTTAAATAACAATGTCTAAACATTTTTAAAATACCTTATCTTAGGCTTCAAGTGCACATCTGATTTATTGTAAACCTTAATTACAAAAGGTTTTGAAATGAGTTGTATTTCAAAAAGACACACAGAACAAAAGCCTCAAAAGCAAAGACTGATGGTCAAGGGCAGTGTTGTTGGAGGAGTGATGCTTCCATGCTTTCAGTTTACGCATTGTTTCCCGGGTATCCCAGGATGGAATGATGTGAAGCTGGAATTCTGTTACGGCTCTCCTCCTTTCCTTGGCCCTGAAGCTTGAACAACTTTTCTAATTGCTCTGCACCTAATTCGGATTCTTCATCTGTGAACAATATGTCATATGCATTTTAAACAGTGGTTTGAGTCTTAAATAAGACAGGCATATAATACATGTTTGTTAAGTAAATGAATGAAATTTTGGGCCATATATCAGATTCTCAATAAATAACATTTATTTTTCTCATTGAACTTTTAATTCTTGGGAATCAGTTAAACATAGAAAATTAACACTGAGTTGTGTGGCAAGCAAAATAGAATTGTTAAAAAAGGATGTAAAATGTGATTTTATTTGGGGATACAAAGGATGTAGGTGAATGTGAAGGACCAACTTTTCTTACCTTTTAATATTTGAAAAACTTGCCACATATTCATTACTGAACAATTTGTACATTCATAATCAATATATAAGAAGTAATATTCTTCAGCTGATTATACCTTATATGAATGACCCTTTTATTAAAATGAATGAAAAAAGGTTAGGTTTATAACCATGAAAGGAATGTTTATGGGAATTTAGAATAATGTAGTATGTCCAGATAGCTTTCTGAAGCCTTAACGTAGCACAGGAGTGAAGTTTAGAGGCTCCATGTGAAACAATGACAGTTTGGAAATGTCCATCTTATTAGCCATGCTTTTTTGGTAGCCACTGTATGACAAATATTCAGAATTACTATTCTCACAGACTACTCGAAGTGGAGGTTTTCCATGCTGTTTGTTGAAAGGCCATCCATATGCTAAAGAACCCATGTGTTCAGGAAGTGCAGACGATATTTTTTATAAAGGCTGAATATCCTGACTTTTAGTGTCACCCTGGTGGAGGGACATGCCATTGCAGATGCCCATTCAGCCTCAGCCACTTTGAATGTTAGCTCTAAAACTTCCTGTGAATTCGTCACTAGTTGTGGGTTCTGGCCACGAGAAGTCCCACCGAGATGGAATGAATTACTCAAGACTCTGAGGAAAAGTCAAGAGAGGGAGAGGGAGTTGGGAGCCAGCTCCACGAGCCTCTCAAATCTCCCATATTTATTGAGTACAGTCAAAGGAGGAATGCAGGAATTTAGGGAAGGACAGGGTGGGATCACAATGAGTACAAAGGCTTTGTTTATTGTTGGTGTTCGGCTCAAGGTCAGAAGACCTATTTTGGGTGAATCATGTTCATGTTGAGCCTTTCAGCTTATCAGGCAGACATATGGGAATCAGCTGCTTGACACTTGGACTCAGCGGCTGTGCCTGTCTTATGTTGCCCCCTCCGGGGATCTTACCTGTCATTGGCTAA